TACTCAGAAATTATGAATTAATCCTTATGGGTTTGCTTTGGATACCAATATTTTTAAGTGCTCTTTAGGTGATTTTAAAATGTAGTCAAAGTTGGGAACACCTACTCTAGTGGACATGATAAAAACAGGTATTTGCATGCTTTTCAAATGGGAATAAGACTGGTACAATCTTTTTACAAACAACTTGTCTGCATTGGCTTTGTAAAAAATTAGTACTATTTTCACTAAAGTTTGCAATTTTTTAATTTGTCCTATCAGTGTAATCTAAATATGGAAAAAACTTATGAATAAAAATGGATTTTGTGTGTAATTGATAATGTTATTGAACAATATTTGAGAACAATATAACTTCCCAACTATAGGATAACTATTTACTAAACAATGGTATATAGTGAGTTTTTAATGTCCTGGGAAAATGCCAGGTTAGATGTAAGTAAATTGTATTTACTGCATAGTCAAAACTAAGTTAAAATAAGCATAGCAAAACCACAAGAAGAAAATATTCTAAATTACTAAGGGTGGTTATCTTTGCTTAATGGGGAAATGAATGACTTTGGGGGTTATTTTCTAACCTTTCTGTATTTCAGAAATCCATGCAATATTTATTAGGTCTAATTAAAAATATTTGTATTTTTATTGCAGTAAAGTAACAAAATTTACCATTTTAATAGTTTTTAAGTGTACAACTCAGTGGCAATTAAGTATTTGCACCACGTAAATAACCAGTACCACTGTCCATCTCCAGAACTTTTTCATGTTTCCAAACTGAAATCTTATATCCCATAAACAGTAAGTCCCATTACCTGCCCGCCCCCTTCCCAGCCTCTGGTGACCGCTCTCTACTTTCTGTGCCTGTGACTTTGACTATTCTAGGTATCTAACATAAATGGAATCATATTTGTCCTTTTGTGTCTGCCTTATTTCACTTAGCAAAATGCCATCAATATTCATCCATGTTGTAGCATGTATCAGAATGCCATTGCTTTTTAAAGCTGCATAATAGTCAATTATATGATTATATGTATACACATTTGGTTTATCCCTCCATCTGCTGATGGACATTGGGACTGTTTCCACCGTTTGACTATTGTGAATGATGCTGCTGTGAACACTGGTGAAAGTCCCTGCTTTCACTTCTTAGGGATATACATACTTAGAAATGGAATTGCTGGATCATATGGCAATTCTATTTTTAACTTTTTGAGGAACCACCAAACTGTTTTCCACAGGCACTGCAGCATTTTACATTCCCAACAGCAGTTCCTGAGGTTTCTAATTTCTCTACGTCCTTACAATTTTTACTTAATAAGATCAATCACTTCTATGGAAATCTTTCTAAAATATATCACTCTCTTTCCAGCCTTTTGAAAAGGAAAATATTGAACAAAATTAAACCTTTTTTTTCTTTTAATGATTTACACACATTGGTCCTGATGGGGAGCTACTGTAATTTATTTCTTATTTGAGATCTTGCTATGTGCCAGATTTTCAAAATCCTGTAAAACATCATCTCCATTTCACAGATAAGTAAGTGAAACACACAGTGGTAAAAGGACTTTTCCAAGATCCTGCAGCTAGTAAGTGAAGACAGCAGAATTCAAAATCTATGCCTTTACATACTTTGCTAGACTCCTAACCATCTGTTTGTCTATTGAATGTCTCCACACTAATGGTATACACTCCTAGAAAATTCACATATGTTGCTTAGTGTTTCATTTATTTTTTCCTACTGGTGTTACTCCCAGTTGTAAAAGCACTTACCCCTGACCCTTCTCTCCTCTCCAACTTACATGTTGATGACAGATACCCCGTCACCAAGGAAAACAGATAAAGAAGAGAGTTAAAACTGTAAAAAGTAAAAGTACACAGGTTTGAGAGAGAATTTGAGGGAGTCAATCTAAGGGTAAAAAATGAATAAGTTTGGGTATTTGCCTTTCATGATCCTTCAATGATCTATGCTTATTTCTAGCTTAGAATTTTTTTGTGCTCCAGGTGCTAGGTGTGCTTTTATGAATGAATGAGTGCTTACTCTTATTCCTACTTACAATGTGTAATGTAACATAATTTGTTTTTAGAAAAGTTTTCCCCAGAAAACTTCTAGTCGCCTCCGTCACCCTCCCTCCTTTCCTCCCGTTTACCTTCCCTCTGTCTCCCCTTTCCTCCCTAATTTTCTTTCTTCTTAAGATCATTGCTTTTTAAATAGCACGCCCAGATCACCTCCTACTCCTCCAGCAATTCGTGGCCAGCGAGAAGGAGTCAGGCACGGGCGGCGGGCCCGCACTCTCGCGGGCACCATCTGGCACCTGCGCTTCCTCGCGACTTTCCATCCACCCAGAGGTGAGCGGGTCGGGAGGCAAAGGATATTCTCAGATCTAGAAAATGTCTATTTAATATTTTCCTAATACACACACAAAAAAAACAAGGAAAGGTCTTTTGATATTAGAAAAGTGTCTGGCCCTACATCAAGACTGTGCCCATCATTATCAGCCTGCAATATCTTTATAGAATTTATAAACTTTATAGAATCTATTGTATCTACAGATATATTTTCTGGAGAGAATAGACAAGTATATCTGACCTTGTGTAATTTGTATATTGTGAAATGCTAAGCATTTAACTTTTGGAAAATTAAACCTTCTTTCCAAATAGGAGCGGTCACTAGTTAAAAAAATATACCAGTGAATCTTTTCAGGTACCAAAAAGTTTTTATTTCAAGTGAATTATCAGTACATCACCCTATTTCACATCAGCATCTGTTTTTCTAGAAATTAAGTTTTTCTATGTCAACATTTCTTAAGGGAATCTTTTCCACATCTGTACGATTTTTCCTAGGAAACAGGTAAATAACAGTAGTAAAGCTGAGAGGAAATATGTTCATTCAAAATACAAGATGGAAAGATAAAAGGTTTCTGTAGAAAAGCTCTAGCAGCCCAGGTCCCCCTAAATCCAGTAATGAGTGGTAAATGTAATTCTTATACCAACTAGGTTTATAGGTAATTGTTAACTGAATACTCCCAAGCTATTGTATTCAACAAAATCAGGGGAGGTGGACAGGGGCAGATAAAGGAAACAAAACCACATCCCCAGAGATCCTAACTGGCTGATGGAAGTAGTCATTGTTTCTTATTCACAATTTCGTGCGGGGTTGGTAGTTAAATCTGAAAGCAAAGTGACAGTGTTGCTTTATTTCTTTTAAGAATGTGCTTCCCAAGTCTAAAGGTTTGATGATATGAAACCTGCATGGGATTCCAAGATTTGATCATTTTAACACTGATCATTTAATACAATAATATTCATAATGTCAATAAATATACTCAAAGTCTGATAATGATGCAATTCACATTTAGGAAATTTTTGTAACTGCCATGTTGAACCTTACAAATGTACTATAACACTCCTTATTTTTGTCAAATGCAGAAGGGGCTTTTCTCTATTCATCCACCCTCAGCTTCTAATAAATACACAATCCTGTGCAAGTTAAAATCCCTGTAATTCAATCCCTATTCTTCACCTTTCATTTTTCTGAATTCCCAGTACTTGCCCCTGCTATTCATTTTAGTATTATTTTATATTGTCTTAAATTCTTCTGCAATTTTTTCACAGATATATTGTTTTATTATTCTTAAGTATCACCCATATTAAGTAATTATGGATGACTTATAGACTAAATTGTATAGTGAGATTTAAATAAGTGCTTTTTCAATTTATAAAAATTTGCCCAAAGAAGAAATTGTTGGACATTACCCCCAAAATAAAAATACTGTTTAGAAGAATCTAAACTTACTGAAGCTGACAATCAACATCCAAAATAGAAAACTCTTACCTAAATGACAGTTTATTGTATTTTACAGTAGTCACAAAATAGCACAAAAACAGCTAAGGAAACCTCTGGATAAGGAATAAATGATGCTTGGGGACACAGACATAAGAGGGTTTAACAAGCAAATAGAATGGAATTTAGAATAGAGTTTAAAATGGTGAAATAGCTAGCTACTATGTGTTGACAGAAATTTAGTAAATGTATTCTACCAAAAGTTTGGACTGGGCTTCAAGTTGCTGGCTTCCAGCTGTCACAGCTGAAATAAGAGAGCAGGAAGGGAGGGAGAGAGGAAGGAGGAGAGGGAGGGAGGAAGTAGAAACGAGAAAAAATATGAAGTATTCTAGGGCTTAAGAAACAATCTGACAGGTTTATAACATTTCACTGAAACCAACAGCAAACTCACAATGGGCTGAAGTCTCAATCAGGCCCCTAAAACATCCGCAGTTTTGTTTAAAATGACCAAGGAGAAATCCATCAGCGTATGGAAGATGGGGAGGCCTTCCAGCAGTTGGCCAGTGTTCTGAGGTGATGGACGCTGATGAGCAATTCCCTTAAACAACGGATTTACTGCCAACCGACAAAAACGCTGGAAGCACATCCCAAAACTCATCTGCAATTAATATTACGAGAGTGGCCACTATGTCCGCCTTCCCCGCCCTTACCAGAGGGGTGACCCGGCTCCTGGCAATCGTGTGCACACAACGGCCACGAACACCTCTTTCCCCACAAAGCCCCTTCCTTCGCTTGCCTCAGAACCTGCCTTACACTGTGCCTTCTAGTCGCCTCCGTCACCCTCCCTCCTTTCCTCCCGTTTACCTTCCCTCTGTCTCCCCTTTCCTCCCTAATTTTCTTTCTTCTTAAGATCATTGCTTTTTAAATAGCACGCCCAGATCACCCCCTACTCCTCCAGCAATTCGTGGCCGGCGAGAAGGAGTCAGGCACGGGCGGCGGGCCCGCACGCTCGCGGGCACCATCTGGCACCTGCGGTTCCTCGCGACTTTCCATCCGCCCAGAGGTGAGCGGGTCGGGAGGCAAAGGACACGCGGGGCTGGCGCGACCCAGGTCTTCGGAAACTTTCCTCTGGTCGCAACCCTTCTCCTCCTGAAACTCTTCAACCATCTGTCAAGCGAGAAAAGTCGAGTGACCTCCCCCTAGCCTTTGGAGTTGGAACAGAGAAGACCAGCAAGCGGCGGAGGTTCGCCTCCGCTTCCCCACCGCGCAGGAGCCGCGGACGCAGAGCTGCGGCGCGGCCAGAAGGGGTCGCTGTTCGCCCGGAGCAGCCGCCCCGCAGCCGCCGTCGCCGCCCGCACCTCCCACGGCCCCGCTGGCCCAGCCCCGCCAAGTTCCAACAGCCCCCAGTCGAGTGAGAGCCGGGAACGAGCACCGCCCGGGCTGGAGCGGACGGCGCAGACCAGCCCGGCCGCGGCGCGCTTCGGAAAGGCTCCTAGGAAACTCCCACGGTCCGAGCACTTTGAAAGAAGAGCGAGCGAGCAGCCCCGTGCGCGCAGCAGTGCAAGTGAGCGCTCAGCTCGGCACCTGTTCCTCTCGCCCCGCGCCTCCCCGCGCGCCCGCCCGCCCGCTCCTGCGATGAACCCGGCGCTGGGCAACCAGACCGACGTAGCGGGCCTCTTCCTGGCCAACAGCAGCGAGGCCCTGGAGCGCGCCGTACGCTGCTGCACCCAGGCTTCCGTGGTGACCGACGACGGCTTCGCCGAGGGGGGCCCGGACGAGCGCAGCCTGTACATCATGCGCGTGGTGCAGATCGCCGTCATGTGCGTGCTGTCTCTCACCGTCGTCTTCGGCATCTTTTTCCTCGGCTGCAACCTCCTCATCAAGTCCGAGGGTATGATCAACTTCCTGGTGAAGGACCGGAGACCGTCCAAGGAGGTGGAGGCGGTGGTCGTGGGGCCCTACTGAGCGGCCCTCCCGCCCCAGGCCTCCCCACGTCGCCAGCCCGGCCGCGCCCCCTCACCATCCGAGAATGGGCGAAGCAAACCTGTCGGAGTCCGTTCCTTCCCTCGACTCTGCCTTTCGGGATGCAGCGACCCGTTTCCCGCTCTCCCTCTGAAAGTCCCCGCGCCTGGCTGTAGGAGGAGAGCTCCCTGGCTCTGGACTCAGAGCCACTGGCACAAGGAGGGCGATTCGGGCTCAGAACTTCGGAAGCTGCCGCCAGCGTGGGATGTGGGGAGACGGACGAAGCGAAGGCCCTTCTCCACCCGCAGGTGGGCCAAGCCCTGGGGGCTGGTGGAGAGGGCGGGCAGGGGAGAGGGCCGGTGGCACTGACTGCCCGGTGGCCGTAAAAGTGACCCGGGTATACATCATGCTCCAGAACTAATGGGGACACACACATCCGTGTCCGGATTCGCGCTCATTCCCTCCTGCCCCTCCCAGCCCCGGCGAGAGAGGCAATAATTCCTTTGATTGATTGTAACGTGCCGTTTTAAGGGATTTTGTGTTTGTTTGCTTGAATACAAATATTTGATAAGTCCTTTTCTGCTCTAGTGGCCTGTTTGCCTGCCTGGGGGGTTAGAGTTTTGTCGTGGGACGAGGGGTGGGGGGAGGGGGAGCCTGCGAATGTGAACCGGGTGAATTGTTCTTTTGCATTTCCAACTGGATCTTGGGGGCTAGGGGGGCTAACGCCCCAGCTGGCCCCCCGGGCAAAGACCCAAAATAGAACTCGTAGCTTGCGTGACTGCACGGTTTACGCCACAAAAGTGCTCTTGACATTCATGACACCGTTTTGACTTTTTTTTTCTTCTTCTTGTTTAACATTTCCTTAATAAATGCAACGTTTAAGCGTTTTGTTCGTGGCCTCCTGGTGGTCATTCTGGGCTGGCGGCCTAGGGGAACGGGGTGGTGGGGGAATTCGCTGTGGAGGGCTGCGATTCAACTCGTGGATCCCACGGAGGGACGGGGTGGGGGCGAGACGAGAGGCCTAGGGGCAAGGGAGACAGGGCCAAGCCTCAGGCACGGAGCCGTCCTGGAGGCAGCATCCTTTGTTTTCTCTTACGGTTAATATTTTATGTTTCATTTAGGCTCAGCTCTCTGAGCCAGGCGAGACAAGAGGCCCCAGCGGGAAGATCACACTTCCGCGCAGGGCTCTGGCGGGAACACAGGGTTACACCACTAATGAAAGGAAGAGATGGCTTGGCCAGCCTTCAGGGAAGGCGTCTCTCCCCTGACCAACGTCAGCAAGACGGCGTCGGGATGCTGCCCCCAAATAAATGCGTAAATAAATAATGCGGGGAAGAGTAGCTGTTAAAGTACAGAGAGACGCTGATTCTCCCTGGGGGTAAACTGTTGCTACTAAAACGTGAGATGCATTGTCTTCTCCATATTTCGTTTTCTAGGGAAAGGGCAAAAATAAGAGAGAGCCCCCCACTGCCCAAGAACTGCTCTTAATATGGTCAGCTCCAGGCCAGGCAAAAAGGTTCAGAGGAATAAGCTTCGGTCCGGAATGCCAAATATAAGTATTACAACCTGAACTGGAAAGGTTGGGCGGGACTGTAGCTGTACTTGGTAGTTGGCACATCTAGTGCTCAGAAACTGTGAACCATGTTGGGAAGAAGAGTCTAGAAAAACCGTGAATGTGAAAACAACCCAAAGGATGCAATAGCTTTCAGCTTAAATTTGACAAGAGGTTTTGAGCAGTGTATGTTTATGCCTGGGGCAGGATTCTAAATACATTCAGGAATATAAAAGATCTACTACGCTCTTAAAATGGAAGACTTCAGAATAGCAGATTTAAGACTGACTAAAATTAAGTAACAATAAGGTGTCCCATTTACTCGGGAAGAACTGGTATTAACAATCTCAACTGACTCAAAGGGTTGGAATCAAAAAGTTTGAGCATCCTGTAAGAACCTGTCCACTGTGTCTATTTCACTACCAAAGTAAATCTTGCCAGGAATTATGAACCAGAATGGCTTTTTATGTACCAGTAGGTATCTCACCAAATTAATCTTCTGCCTCCATGTTTTAAAGGGAGAAATAGAGCTGAACAACCAATTCACTCTGGGACAAGCCAGGCATCTAAACTTAAACTGTTTTTTGTAGCTGCAATATCTACTGAGGACTCCTTCTTCCTCCTAATTAGCCCACCAGTGAATCCAGTGCTCTGATGGAAATCAATTTGGGATCAAAACTCAATCAGCTAGATTTGTAGGAATCTTGCTTTGTGCTCTGCTGTGTGCAAGGTGCACAATTACCAGTTTCAGACACAGGAAGGCTTCACACCTACAGGTCGGTTTGTACTTGTTCTTATAGAACAGAGGTTTCCATTTAAAGCCAAAGCCCTGAAAGTTGAGAGGGGCCCCGCCCAACCTCCCTATTATTCTCTCTGTTACTAACTACTATTTCCTCCAGTCTTAATTCCTCTTCATACCCCTTCACACCTCTTTCCACTTCCTGCACCTCAAAGCAAAATATGCAGTTTCTTATCTCAACTATCCAGATTTATTCTCTTACCCCTAGAAACTGGGATTGTCAGTCAGACAGGAACCTGCAAAATTCAGTCTTAGGTAGAAAAGATGTGAACAGAGCTCTGTAATCCATGATCTATGCATTAAAGGGAAACGCATACGGTCTGAAAATATCATAGCCCTGGGGAATATTTCCTGCCAACAACTCTTCTCTGCAGCCCTTAGATCCATTTGTTACTTAGAGAAATGCCAAGTGGTTCTGGTTTTTATAGATGAGGCAATGTGTGCAAAAAGCTTTTTACACTCCCTATTCCCTGATGATTGTACAGCAACCACTTTCTGGGGCCCCACACCACTCTCTGTCTCACTCTGTCTTTGACTCTCTTTTTCCCTGAGTCTAACACAGGCATTAAATGAAACTTTTTAAACCTGCCCAGAGTGCATGGAGTGTTGATCCTTTCCCACTGATGTGCTATAAGGAAAGGGAGTTTTAAAAGTTACTCTGAAGACTAACTTTTCATGTAAAAAAACAATGTCAGCCTTACCAGACAGGGAATTGAGAGGGTTTGATGCAAGCAGGCAGATGTTATCATCCCATGCTTAAATCCACATTGGGTCAGTAATTAGAGGAAGGCCCTGAAAGAGACAACGATGACTTCTTATAAACACTCGCTCGCTGAGTCTGACAGGGTCCACAGGGAGGTATCTGATACTTCCTGAAATCCTTGTGGAAATACAGTGTAAGCAGGAAGACGTTTTTGTGAGACACACAAGTGGATTAGTGGGCTGTAACCCCTCTCAGGCTGTGTACATCACCACTGCTGCCTCTGAGCCTAATTGGGTGGCTTCCACATAAGAACCAGCCGGTTGTTGATCAATGTTACTTTCTTAGTTTTTTTTTATATGAATTTTTCCACTCTCTCTGAAAACGAATCAAGACTTTGAATGCTGGACACCTCGAGGGCTGCTTCAGGGAAGCTGAAGCGTAAAGGGCCCACCCCAGTGTTAAGTCTAAGATCAGACTCGTTCCTAGTGAACGGTTCCTGTGCCTGAATTCTGATTTCTAAGCCACCTTGACATCTCATTGGCTCCTGAGTCAGTCCTGTTAGACTCTGTGTCTTCTTTCAACACTCATTCTGAGTTAGGAAGGGAAAGGCACCCTGGACTCTGATGGAAGAAGAAGATGGGCTCTGAAAGGGTGTTCCAGTTCTGTGATTCTATTGAATTACTTGAACATTTCCTCATCTCTCATCAATCTCTTCATTAGGAGAAATACATTTGATAGCTCCAATTTTGTTCCTTCATGTAGAAATGTTTACCCCAAAAGTCAAGCACTCCTTGACTTAAGGTATGTTGTTTACAGTAATGAAAGCAAATTTCAGACACCTGGTCAGGCCTGCACACACACCTTTTTCTAAGCTAACAGATCACACATCATGTAACCAGTGCCTTAACTATCCCAGATCTCTACGGCTTCACTGGAGGAAACGATGAAAGCAAAGTCCAGTGAACTGGGAGCAAGTAATCAGCCAGTGAGTTTCCTAGGTACGTACACATTCAGACTAATATGCGCTCCTGTTTATAGACACTTCCTGGGTGTTTAAGACTAATTGACAGCCAATTTTCTCCCCCAAAGCCCTGTTTTTTTTTCCTTTGAGCTTCTGCAAAATAGCACCGAGCAGCTGTTCCACGTGCAGCTTAGAGGCTTCCTTGGCTCTGGCTTATTATACTTGTCACTTCGGGGGATTTCAATGCCAGGAAAAGAGTCCAGCATTCAGTTTGTCCTGTAAGACACAAACCTAGTTTGAAAGCCTGTTGGAGCAGCAAGACTACAGCAATCCCCAAAACAGGAATCAATAAATCTTTTATCCACCTGCCAAATCCCATTTAGATACGTGCACAATAGCTCAAATGGGATATGTTTTGAAGTCTGCTCCAGCAGTAGTAATTGCTTCCTAATGTCTGAATTCAAATGGTTATGGTGAATGGCTTCCATGGCCAATCTCACTTGGTCCCCCTTTTCAGATATTTTTGTATTATTTCAAATGCTTAAGAAGTTTGAAAGTCCACGATTAATTTTATAGCATCAGCTTACATTTAAAATTTCTTGGAAAGTATAGTTTAGGAAAAAATTAAGTATATAATATTAGCAGCAAGTCATATATCATGTATAGTGATCATAATAGAATAGCCTAAATTTATTACTTATATTTGTGAAATTTGAACTATTTCAGAGGGACTTCCTACCAGGCTGTTGTAAGGATAACTAGATTCATTTATGGATACTCCTCAGTAAACTTGCAAACAGTGGCTTGCTTCTAACCTAGATAATAATATACACTCTATGAGAATAAACAAAGTGTATTTTTATTTGACTATTTATATATTTTTTGAAGGGATAATGGGTAAATAGCTTCCTTTCCTAAATATAAGAGCTTGCTTGCTGAAATGCTTTTGAGTGGGTAAATGCAGGCAGAGAGTGATCAATACAGAAAAGGTCAATCCATCTGTGATAATGCTGGCACAAAACTCTACCCTGCCCCCATTTTAAAACTGGTTTCCATTACACTGGTAATATTTCTGAACTCATAATTCAAACAAAGTGTTTGTCAAGCACCCTGTGTACATGGTATAGTGCAACTTATTGCTGAAAAAAATAAGCTGATTCCTATCCATTTGAGCCATAAAACATGGGCACAGATAAATACCCACAAGGAAAGGCATATGATCTGCCCACAGGAGTCAAATCATAAAGAAATTGCTCTTATTTACTTTTTCTGGAATTCATAGTGATGTAAATATACATACATAATCATGCTAAAGGCTCATGTTGGCACAATTACAGGGAGAGGATATTACAGTTTTCTCATCACTTCTTTTTTCATAAATGCCTTCCACCCTCACCTATTCCTCTCTCATTATGTGCTCCTTCCCTCACCCACATCTGAAGATATACTGCCCTGAAAGAGTCATTGATTTTTATCAGACCAAGACTCCAGATGTCTGATTGCTTTGGGAAAAGAATCCCTCTGGGATCCAGTGTCTCTTTTGCTTTATTTATTTTCCTATAAATTGGGAAGGATCATATAGTTCATATTCTAAGTAGTATTGATTAAGGCATGTACGTGCTCACACTCACATACTCTGTTTCCTATAGTATATACTGATGCAACATATCCACTCTATTGCAAACTAAAAGTGAGCACCACATAGTCCCCAGTTCTTTCTTTTACACTATTTATTTGTTTGCAATAAAACAATGCATGGAAAAATATTGCAAGTAAATAGTCCCAGAATGTTCAGCAAATAAGATTTATGTGAGGTGCTTAGAGTCTTAACAAAACATCTATATCTTGAGATATATGTTTTAATCTTTGTCTA